AGGCACATTCATACATTTGTCAGTGAAACATAATTGAGAAAATTATAAGCCAAAGGTTCAGAAAATGAAAACTAAGGAATATTAAATATTACTATGTTCCCAAAACTCTGAATAGTTAAAAATTTAAATATTTATTTCCTAACCTAAGCTTTAGGCAAGGAGAAGGGGTCAAGAGTTCAACTTACAGACCTTTTTATCTCTGAGAAGCATCCCTTTAAACTTCTGAGGGCGTCTCCTTACGGCTGGGGTGGTTAGAAGCCTTATTAAAATTGTACAAAGAGCCTGATCTTACTCCATGTTACATTCCTTCCAACCTAAATTTCTGCTGAGTTCTTTTTGGAGGGAGCCCTTTATAGCTGATTGGATAGCCCAGTGCCATTTTGATCTGCTTTTAAGAATAGAAATTTATAATTTAAAAAAATATTCTATAATACCACAAATAATGTGGGTCACCTGATACTGCTTTTCAGAATAGAAATTTATAATTTAAAAAATATTCTATACCACAAATAATGTGGGTCACCTGATACTGCTTTTCAGAATAGAAATTTATAATTTTAAAAATATTCTTTAATACCACAAACAATGTGGGTCACAGATATAGCAGGTGGTATATAGTTCAATGATGCTGAGCCAAGTCTGTTATTTAATGACACTGGCTCAGAAGAATTTCAGCGCTGTTCAGCTTTCCTAAGCAGTAGAGCCTAGATTCAAAACAATTTGTCTTTGCCACCTTCATTCTACATTCTCTCTTTTACCCTCACCCAGCCTTCTGTTGGTAAGGACAATTTTAATATCAACTCCATCAGCTCATATTTTTATTTCTGTTGCTGGAATAAGAGGAAGCCTAATATATTCATTCCCAAGCTGAACAAGCTGAGCTTCCAATTATGTGCTTTTTGAACTCCACACTACTGTAGTTCAGTCCTAACTTTCTAAATTCTTTCGATAGGTCTTCTCTAATGTGCTTTGGGAGTTTGGTTTCCCACCTGTTTTTTGCAACAGCACCGTTTTGGAGGATAATTTTGGCTTGCCTAGATCCTATTTCAGGGTTTTGTTGACTTTTTGAAAAATTGTCTTTCCTTTTGGTATGGTGAGTGGTTTGGTAGCAAAATAAGATTTTTTTGAAAAGGGCAGAATTCAGCTGCAACTATGAAAATGTTTTTTCCTACCTTGTCACTGAAAATTGGGGAATCATTTTTAACCATTTTATGTGTGTGTATCCAAAGAGTCAGCAGTGACTATTTCTGGATTGTCAATGAGGATGCTTAATCTTAAAAATAAAAATAACTTAAAAATTGTCTTATAATTAGAGCAGAGTTTGATGATACATGTTCTGTCGCCAAAGGCTTGTAAAGTCTTATTTTTGAGGCATGAGTTATAAGCCATTTTTAAGATGGTGAAGTTTTGGGTAGAGTACTTTTGTCTCTGATTATAATGAAAATTGGGGTAACCCCCTGAATGCCCTAGAAATAAATTACCTTGTTAAAGGATGGTATATCAAGAAAGTACGTGAACAAAGAGTGTTGTACATAACTTAATTTCATGAAGGCCACTTTTACAAGTGGACTGAGATTTACCATAAATTGACATGAACCTCATGATTTCTTTCAGTGAGAGAGCGCAGAGGGTCCCTTTGCAGACTGTCAGTTTATCCTGCCCAGAACTAGTTTTAAGGTTTGGATGTAGAACTGATAAGTGAAAATAAGTTACTAAATGACTTTTTAAGTCAAAATAGAGGTTTTGTGACATTTTAAGCTTGTGATTGAACAAATTTAAGAGCCTGCCTTTGTCAGTTGAGATGCATATTGTCCCACTTATTTTAAGGAATGTTTTAACTTCAAATAAATGTACATCCCTTCCTGTTGAAAAGAATGATGGAGAAAAGACTTGGCAGCCACATTCCCAGACCTATCGCATTAACAGCAAGGTAATTTTTTAGTTACAGAGGGTTCTAGTTTACATTAGACAATATACTTACGTTTTTGTTGTTAAGAGAATTAATCAGATATGATCATCATAAAGCCATTCATGTGGCTGCCTGCTTTGGAAAGGAATTTAAAAATTTTGGCAGGAATTTTGGAGATCCCACTAAGTAGTAATTTTGCCATAAGCATCACCAGCAGGTGGCAGCAGTCACCATGTTATAAAAATTCAGTAAATGGTTAAGACTAGTAGCATTTTGTTTTATGTCTGGGATTTTAATTTTCCTCATTGTGTTTCATTATAGTCTGTTATACACATTGGTGAATAAAATGACATCCTAGATAATAAAACCCTAATATGCAAATCGACCCAATAGCAGAACAACTGATTCACTATTATGTGCACTGACCACCAGGGGGCAGACGCTCAATGCAGGAGCTTCCCCGATGGTCAGTGTGATCCCACAGGGGGAGCGCTGCTCTCCCGGCTCATGGCTGGCAAGCGCAGTGGCAGTGGTGGGAGCCTCTCCTGCCTCTGCAGCAGCGCTAGGAGCAGCTAGCTGAGCAGTAAGGCATAGCAAGCAGGCGGGCAGTAAGGAGTGAGGGGTCTCAGACTGCGAGAGGGATCCCCACTGTGAGAAGGATCCTCGACTGCCAACTTAGGGATCGGGCCTAAGCCAGTAGTCAGACATCCCCCGAGGGGTCCCGGATTGCGAGAGGGCACAGGCCAGGCTGAGGGACACACACACACACACACACACACACACACCCCTGCCCCAAACGAATTTTGTGCACTAGGCCTCTAGTTTAATAATGGCAGCAAGGCAGGAACAGGAGTATTACCAAATACTGTAAGGGCACTTAAAACTATATTTGAACCAGTTGACATCCAATTGTTATATAGCAGCGGTTCTCATCTGTAGGTCACGACCCTTTGGCCGTCGAATCCTTTCACAGGGGTCGCCTAAGACCATCCTGCATATCAGATAATTACATGATGATTCATAACAGTAGCAACGTTACAGTTAGGAAGTAGCAATGAAAATAATTTTATGGTTGGGTCACAATATGAGGAACTGTATTTAAAGGGCCAGAAGGTTGAGAACCGCTGTATAGGAAGGTGGCATTCTTAAAAGTACTTGTTGGCAGCCACTGAAGAAAATAACTTATAGCTGTGCTGTGATGCAGCTCCTGAGGAGGATGGAGAAGGTGTGACATTGTGGGATCCTCTGGAAAGAGTAGCCAAATAGTCAGGTCCTTGAACTTTGGCTCAATAATACAGTCAGCCAGCATACCAGTCTTCAGGTTTTGAGTCAGAAAAATGGCTTTGATGATGTTCTTAACAAATGTTTATGGTAACTTTCAGCTTTCAGCACCCACAGTCTAATCTTGCACAATTCCGAGGATTCCCGTATTTCTCTGAGCCAGAGGATGCTCAGCATTGTCACAATATCTTATTGGAAACTTATGTATCTCATCATAGTAAGGGTTTTCATTCCCAGGAAAGAGGCATCAAATTTGCAAATTTATATCTTCAATAGACCAGTTTGCTAACCCATTATCATATAATATGCTGTTATTTCCCCTGGTTATTGTATATGATCACTACTCTTGGGGGTAACTGTCAGGCTTACAACAAATGATGGGTGTCTTCTAGAAACCAAGGCACTGATAGGGACAGGATAGAGCAGCATTTAGAGTCTGCTTTCTCGAAGCTTACATTTAGTGGGAAACAAAATCACGCCAGGTGGTAGAGGTTTGAGAAATAGAGCAGTGGGGG